GGCTGATGTTAAAATCGCTCTTGCTTCACTCACATCTGGTCCTGATAAGAGTCCTGTGTGAGACTTCGGCAGTCAGTCTGTTATTCTGAAGCGCTCACTCTTCCCTCTTTCTTTCTTTCCTGAAAGCTCGTTCTGTCCGTGGCTCGGCAGAAGCGCTTCCTCTCAGCTCTGATATTTGAAAAGGACTCCAGTGTTCCTTCTCTGTGATTTATCGCCCGTATTTCGATCCAAAGGCGACAGGTTTAACTCTGACAGAAGTGTGAATCCGAGCGGGAGCAGTCTTCTGGATCTGTAGGGCCGTTTCCCAGAATTCATCTCTCGGAAACGTGGGCCGCCTCGGTTCACGTGGTTTAAAGCAGATCTGAGGTCTTAGTGCTGTTTGGAGCTAGCACTGCGTGACTATCAGTTTTCCACAGGGCTCTGGTGCAGTTTAGGGCAGTGCTTGAGGCTTTATGTCGTCGCTGGTGAAGTCTTGAATAATTCAATCTGAGGAAACGGAGATCTGCATGTGAATGTGCAGAATCGGCAGCTTTCTGGTGAAGTCTGAGTTTGAAGGCTTTAGTGGCGTGTGGGTGCGAGCTTTCTGCAAGTGACCAGCAGAAGTGGAAGTCCTGGCCCAGATTTCGCCGTCTGCAGTGGCTGTTTCCGCTCATCGGCCGGTGGCTTCCCAGATTTTATTGACTGAATAATTGTTTTGTCCATAACACGAACGGTTAAAGAATCAATCCTGCAGCCGACTGATCCTTTTAACTGTACAGGGCAATTTCTTCCACCGTGATAATTATTATTGAGTTTCAGCCGCAGGTCTTTCGGTTTCTTCGCAGATGAATTCGTTTCTCGGAGTTCGTCAGAACAGGATGTGATGTGACGTTTTTGGCAGATTTTCAGGAGCTTCCCGCTGAGTGCCAGCGTCTGTGCAGAGACGGAGCTCTGATCCTTCCGACGGCTCGCTGCGAATCAAGATCTTCTGGGAAACGCCACTGCTGCGTCCAACCCAGCTTTCTCCTTTTGAGTAATTTGAGCAAATGTCATCATCAGAAAAAGAGAAGGCGGCGAAGAATGCACGCAAATAAACACGTTTTATGGTTTGTTTTTAAGAGCCGTGTGCAGAATGT